TGATGTTTTGAAAGACTCACTATTCATCTAACGGGTCTGCAAAAAAAGCCAATTTGAACAATTTGAAGCCAAATCATCATTGCACTATGGCAATCACACACACACACACACACTAACTACCTCTCCATACAGCCACATCTTAAAGATGATACCATATATAGTATGTCTGGGTCATAGTAAACAGTCTAAAAATGTTGGTTCTCTCTTATTCTCCTTCCCAAAAGATTAAAGATGACTTTTCCTTCTTTTCAGCCAAGTCCCACTAAAGGGAGACAGACAATAACAAACCTCTAGCTGTTCCCAAATTCCATGAATTTATTTGCTGCTGCTTCATGAATTTTTGTGGCATTAATGTGAGGTCAGACAGGAAGCATTTGACCTTAGCAACTCCACCAAGACCAGGAGGTCAGCCTTCAAGGCAGGGATCAGTCCAAGTCTCATGCAAAACTCTCAAAAATACACTGCAGACCACAGCACTGTGTGCAGTGCTCACAGGGCTAACATGGTGTGTTTTTTTTATCTATCAGGTACCAAGTGCCAAGAGGAGTTGTTGCTTTTCAACTTGAACCTCAGGTAAGTCAAACACTAGATAGGCAGTGGAACCTGCTTTGTGAAAACAACAGGACTCCTGCAGAACAGTCATCAATCAGATGATGGTGATTCTGGAGGGGATTAGGTGGGCGTGGAGCTGTGGGGAACCTTTCTACTTAAAGTACTAAGTTAGTCTTACTCAGTTAACATACAACACACCAGATGCATGACCCTAAAGTAGGCTCCAGGGGTGAGGGAGAAATATGAAGAAGAATAGTCTCTAGCCTGACAGTCTTCTACTTTTTTTTTTTTAATTTATTTATTTATTTTTTTGTTTGTTTGTTTTGTTTATACATGCACTGGGTACAGTCAGAAGCGCGGGAGGGTGAGAGAATTCACCAGAGCCAGAGCAGGGAGCAGAGCAGGCAGAAGGACCGAAGTACACTGCTGAGGGGAGCAGCGGGCGGCAGGAGAGGTCTGTGCGCCATGTGGGACCCTCCTCCAGTGGCCGGGGAGCAGCCGGGGATCGAACCGGCGCCACAGAGGCCGCGGGCAGCTTTGCAACCCAACGCTCAACCACTGCGCCACCGGGGAGGCCCTCTACTTTTTTTTTTAAAGATTGATTTATTTATCTATACAATAGCTTGGGTACAGGCCAGAGGCACGGGAGAGTGAGAGGATTCACCAGAGACAGATCGGGGAGCAGAACAGGCAGAAGGACCAAAGACACTGCTGAGGGGAGCAGTGGGCGCAACAGGAGAGGTCTGCTGCGCCATGTGGGAATGTCCCTGGCCCACCAGGAATCAAACTGGTGCTGCAGAGGCTGCGGACAGCTTCACAGAGCTGCACTCAACCCACTGTGCCACCAGGGAGGCCCAAGCCTGACAGTCTTCTAATCAAATTGGTTTTTCAGTAGACCCTTTAGATGAATAATAAGTCTTGAAAATCTTCATCTACATAAAGTGACAGCCAGTACATAGATGCACTGCGTAAGTCAACACACACACACACACACACACACACACACACACACACAACACCTCTCCATACAGCTAATTGTTGCCTTCCTCTAGGATCACATTAGTGACTGTGGCATCCAAGTGCCCTTCTAACAGATAACCCTCTCTTTGTGTTGTCCAGTGACAAAACAAATCAAACAAAAAATTCTTTTTGTTCTCTCTGTCCTTTTATTGTCACATTTCTGCTTTTCATGGCTTTGTTTTTCATAGTTTCATGAACTGAGAAAACAAAACTTTCTAAACAAAACAAAACAAAACAAAACAAAACTTTCTAAACTCTTCTCATTTATATCCTATTACTGTCACCCAGGAGAAACTCCGGGCTTCTCCTATCATCTTTCCTTGGTCAAGTCTCCCTCTGGCCACAGCCATCTCTGTGAGCTCCACCCATCTTTGGACTGGAATGAGCTGGCCAACAATTGGACAGTGGGAGAAGGGAGGGAGAGAAGAAGGAAGCTTCTTAGCTGAGAATCAGCCCAGGCACTGGTTAATTCCTCTGGTCTGGTCACTTGGCCAAGAATAATAAATATGGAGCTTCAAAGGCACAGATGCTCATTGGGAGGCTAGCCACTCAGAGCTTCATCTGCTCAGAGCCATGGCCTGCATAAGCACTGCTAGCTAGCTCAGCACTCGAGAGAGTCCTGGGGGAGAAAAACAAGAGTCCTAAGCCTGAGGAAATAGCACATTCAAGTTAAAGAATAAATGTTTTGAGGCAGCCCAGGGTTCCTGAACAATTAATTAACAGGCAAGAACAAGCAAAGACAGAGCTCCTCCTGTTTGTTGAGCTCCAGGAAGGGAGACCAAGTCAATGATTTATCAGATGCTGTGGAGCTGATAAGGTCCCAAGTGACTGAAGGAAATCAAGCCAGAATAGGAAAAGGGAAAGCTCCCCACCGGGAAGCTCCAATTTATGAAAGATGATTTTTGTCACATTCTTTTGCAGGATAACACCTATTGGCGCCGGGCATAAGATAGGGGCCAGAGGGTACTGATAGAGGGAAGGTGTGGCTTGTTTGATGGGACAGGAAGTGGAGGGAGAGAAGTGTTCAGTACCTGAGCTGCTGTTCTTCACAGTCGTAAGCAGTTAGTTCCCCTCATCAATTTTCAAAAGGTGATTGGGGCCGTGGAGGGCATCTATGTTAGAACAGTGCTATCCCCATATTAGTGGTCTTTAATAAAATTGCCTTCTTTGCACCATGCCAAGTCCATAAATACCCTATTCATTTATTCTATATTATCTGACTCCTCCCTCTCACCCCAGTTAAAATTGGCAGCTGCTTCAGAGCAAAGGACACATATCCTTTTCTACTCCCAGATCCTTGGCATTAGAACAGTGTCTGGCACCCAGACAGTGCGCAATGAACAAACATTAGATGAATGAAGCCAAAGAGTGCTTCAAGGTATTTTCCAGGCTTCGCAAGGGTTACTTTTCACACACAAACTTGTTTTTGTCAACCTGAATGGGAATACTGCAATAGGCAGGTCCATGAGAAATGCACGCTTCCAGAACAGGTTCTTCTAGAAAAGGAATGCTTAAAAAAAAAAAAAAGGCCAAAACCATCAGCCAGGTGGCCTGATGATGTGTAGGCGCATGTGGTGAAATGCTGACAGGTTGTCCTGGGAGAGCAAGGAAGACAGGGAGAGGGGAGTGAGTACTACTTGAGCCAGCCTTCAGGTGCAGGAAGCCTTCGTCACAGTGCCAGAGACAAGCCTGGAAGAGACCGGTGTGGCAAAGGCCCTGAGGAACAGGGAAAAGTGGTTTTCTTTGGGCACATTTTAGGCAGCGGAGAACTGTGCCAGTAGGAGGTAGTCCTGCTGACTGAAACTTCTATCAGCGGTAAACTTCCCTTGCAAACTGACACCTTAGTGAGCAAACTTTTGCTATGACCTTGGAGGGGATGTCTGGTGATTGGTGGGGTCTCTGGATATAAAAACCACTGATGCACTTCAGCACTTGTCTGAATATTTAACACTGAAGGTGTCTGCTCCCTGAGCTTATTTTTGGAAATGACTATAACACAGTCATGGTTTGCTGAACTGTGAAAACAAAAGCTGCATGGAGGAGAGGGCATAAGATAGGGGAAAAATGAGTGTGGATCAGGCCATACAACAGGGCAGAGCCGCTTCCTCCCTACACAGGCCCATCCTAGTTCAAAGGGTAAGGGCACAAATGTGGAAAGGAAGCCCTGCTAGAGTAGTCACCGAGTTTCTGAGCATAGTTCTGGGGTTCCTGACTGCCTTGGGAGATGGTAATGATGATTAGGTCTTTATAAGGCCTCCATATACACAGTAGGCCAGGCCAGACCCTGGGAAGGTCACTGACGCTCTCAAATCTACCCCCTACCCAGGACCTCCTAAAGGTCTGAGGCCCACCATGAGTTGACTCATTTAAGTGGGTTATTGCACCGTGTGTCTAAGCAGCCCCTATTAATCCTTACTGCCTTTCTCACAGCACTTCTCAGTTTACAAAGAGCAGGGCCATCTGTTCTCTCATATTGATGTTACTTCCACTCTGTACATAAGAAACCTGAGACTCTGAGAGACTGAGTGATTCCTGCAAGGCCACTTAGTTAATGAGCACTGGAGCTGAATTTGCGACAGGTTTTCTGGCCAAAGCTTAGAGCGGTAACTCGCTGACAGGATCCCACCATTAGAGGCCAGTTGTATCCTCAGAAAACAAGTAGCACTGGCCTAAGATGGGGCCAGTAAGTTCTGACAGGGGTGAGGAAAAAGTGGGTCTAGAGTAGAGGGTAAGCTGTAAAGGGGTGTAGGCGCATGGAGAGGAGGGAGGAAGAGGTTGCAGGTCCTGAGCTGACCCACTAAGGGCTGCTGTTCCCATGGAGGAGGCAGGGGCAGCAGAGGAGCACCTCCCAAGATTAGCTCTGCAAGAAATAAAGAATGGGGAAGGGTGCCAGTGAGGCGAGGGATGCCGTGACCCTGACTCCTCTCCACTGCATCCTGCAATGAGGGCCCCCCTAGGAAATCCTCCCATGCCCATCTGGTTGGAGGGTCTGAGGCAAGATGCCAGGCTTTTCTCTATTGCACTGGTTTTCCCTCCTGCTCCCCATTAGCCCCAAGGAATGGCCTGGCTTCAGATTCGTAGCCTATGAGATCTGTTCTCACTATCAAGTTAGTGATTGCAGCAACAGAAAGGAGATCCTGGAACAAAGCTGTATTTAAACAAACCACACTTCCTTTTACAGTGCAAAGATCAAGGATCCATTTTCAACTGATTCAACCAAATGAAACAACCCTCAAGGCAGGGTTTGTAGCAGGTTCTTGCTATATCATTTGCAATGATTTTCACATAGTTGGGGTGGAGAATTTTCACAGACAAGGTAAGAGCCCTCATTGCACCCTTCTGGCGTACAGTCTAGAGTTAGACCTGCCCTGAAGCAAGCTGTGCCCCCTCTCTCCAATGCCGAGTTAGTTCTGTGGCCGAGACACTACCTCTGTGGTCCGAAGGCCATTCTGTTTCTGGGTCAGAGGGCCTGAGCTGAGGCTCTGGGGGTTCGGGAACTGGGTTCCACAGCTCATCTTCTTCTCTGGGTTGGCTATTCCACTGGGGGCTGTAGATCGGGCCACACCATTGGAGGACACGCCATCTTCCAGCACACCTGGGAAGGAAGCAGAGGATGGAGCCGGGGTCTCACACACAATGACAGCAAACAATCCCAAGGGAAAAAAGCCCCAAAAGGGAAATAAAAGTCACCACAGAGAGCTATACTCTTCTATAAGCATATGTGTACTTTTACAAAAATGCAATCTTAAAATTATTCCATAATCTGGACTTTTTTTTACTTAATAATATACCGATGATACATTTCCATGCCATTAAATATTCAGTCATGCTACTTTTCACACATATCTGCCATTACGTGGATGTGCCACTGTTTACTTAACTAAGACCCCTAATTGGATATTTCTTTTCAGGTTTTCTTAATAAATGTCACTGTGATGGAAATCCTTGGGGTTAAAGATCTATTCTCAATTACTTTCTTAGGAAAAGTTCCTAGAAGCACGAGTACTAGTTTGAAGGATATGCAGAGTTTTTTTTTACATAATTCTATCTCAAGATGTTAGACTGAGCATATTCCCTCCCAGGACAAAAACCACGAAATGACAAACTGAAGGTTAAATAAGGAGCCTCACTGAAAAACAAGAGTAGGGCTACAGTGAAGAATCATGGATGAAGAACGGTTGGATGAAAAGAGAAAAGGCAGCCCAGGAAGCAGGAGTGGGATACCCAGCGGGAGATCACAAATGGGCTGAGGCTCCCTGACAGCCACCAGAGGCCATTCAGCAGTGACAGAACCACTGTGAAGTTGAGACATTGTGATATAGTAACAAATATATATTTGGTCTTTGTCCCCAAGAGCTCCTAAGACCCTTGTATTTCCCTGAGTGATGGGATGAAAGGAATATCTTTTGTTCTCACCAGGCAACTTTTGATAGACCCCTGGATAGCTTCAGATGGGAACTGGTTGCCAGAAAGACCTAGTCCTAATAGAGACTTGGAGTTGTCAGTTCCACCCCTTCTGCATTCTCCAGGGAGAGACAAGAGGCTGGAGTAGGTATGACTGATCACACCTACATGAGTAAACAAACCTTCACTATGAACTTGAACAAAAGAAAGTGATTATGGAGGTTCCAGGTGGGTGAGAGCACCACAACTCCAGAGACAGAACCTCCTGCATGCCAGATTTTGCTGTATGCATTTCTTCATCTCTCTGTTCATTTGTATCCTTTATAATATCCTTTATAATAATCTGGGAAATATAAATAAGATATTCCTGGGAGCCATTCTAGCCAATTACTGAGCCTGAAAAGAAGGCATAGGCATCCTGACTGATAGCTGGGTCAGTCGTGCAGGTGACAACCTGGTACCTGCAACTAGTGTCTGAAATGAGGGTAGTCTCATGGATGCGAGTCCCTAACCCATGGGGTTTGTGCTACATCTAGGCAGTAAGTATCAAAATTGAACTGAATTGAAGACCACCCAGCTGATGTCCAGACAGTTGGAGAACCAGTGAATTTGGGGAAAATACCCCCTGTATTTGATGTGAGAAGTGCTGAGTTGAAACAGCATGGGAAGAACGTGGCTCAGAGAGAGAGGCAATGCTCTCAAGGGCTGGTGACAACTGAGAAAGAAAATTCTGCCAGGATGACTGGCTTTCTGAAAACAGTGCCAAGAAACAGGCCAATGGTAGTTTCCATCCCTGCCTTCCAATGGGGTTTCTTAAATAGATGCAGCTGTTGTTCTAATAGGAAATTTCAGTTACCAAAATGAGTACAGAAACAAGACTAAACAAACCTTTGGAAAGGTCAATACCATAAAAGTGAGAACATAAACTCTATAACAGAGATCCCCCCCCCAAGTATAGTCTCTTCAGAAAACTGAAGGAAGATAGCCACAAAATGAGGACAAGAGTGACCAAGGAAGTTTCAATTAGAGATATTTGAAATAACAACTTTAACTATTGAGTGAAAAAATAAAACTCAATAGAGAAACTAAAAAGCAGAGCAGACATAATTAAAAGTTCAGTGGGTGGGAAAGCAAACTAAGGGATTCTCCTGGGTGGTAGCACAAAGGATTAAGTGAGTGTATGAAGATGCTAGGAAATACAGAATCAAAATTCAGAAATCCCAATCTCAACCTAACAAGTGTTCCAGAAGGAGAAAGCAGAGAAAATTGAGAGAAAGCAATATTTGTAGAAATAGTAGTATTTCGGTTCTCTTCAGAACTGAAGAAAGACACAAAAACTCAGATTGAAATATCCTATCAAGTGCTTGGCAGGGAAGTAAGAAGAAAACCCAAACTAGACAGATTTTTTTTTTTAAAGATTCATTTTATTTATTTATACAAGCACTGGGTACAGTCAGAAGCGCAGGAGAGTGAGAGAATTTACCAGAGCCAGAGCGGAGAGCAGAGCTGGCAGATTGATGAAGTACACTGCTGAGGGGAGCAGCCGGTGGCAGGAGAGGTCTGCGCGCCATGTGGGACCCTCGCCCTGCACCCGGCGATCAAACCGGTGCTGCAGAGGCTGCAGGCAGCTTTGCAACCCAGCGCTCAACTGCTGCGCCACCGGGGAGGCCCTAGACAGATCTTTATGGAATGTCAGGATATCAATGATAACAAGAAAAACTTCACAAAAGGGAACACAATCAAGAATGAGATTGATGTTAGACTTTTCATGAGTACCAATGAAAGTAAGATTATGGAACAATGTCTTCAAGATTTCAAAGGATACACATTTTAAAGTCTTTTGCAACATACTGCCAAATTTACCTCTGCTAATCTCCAATTACCCTATTGGCCTTTTGTCAACAGTGTATGAAATGGCAATACCTCCCAAAACTCTCCCTAACACTGAATGTTTTCTTTTTTGTTTCCAATCTTGGCCAACTGAAGAAGAAAAATAAAGTATCTCATTGCTTGCATTTATATTTCTTGGTTTGCTAGAGACATTATATTATTTACATTCCAATGGGTTAATTGTGTAGGTTTTAAAAAATTGTCAAGTCATTTGCCTATCTTTCCTTTGGGGTATTTGACTGAGTTTGCTTTTCATCAAACTTAAGGAAAGTAAATAAAACTCTTTCCTAGAGTGTTGAGAAATTATTTGCCATGAGGCAGGGATCAGAAGCACAATATATTTGATATACTAAGTGAGGACACCGGAGTAGATGAAGCAGAGCTGATGAGGCTACAGTCCCAACACAAGTGAGGAAGCAGTCACCCAAAGGACACACATGTCCACATCTGCTCTGAAAAATGCTGAGAGGCTCTCAACTGTGGCTATAAAGTAGAAACCAGAATTCAAATGTTAGAAGTCACATTGGAAAATGCCTGGCCCAGAGCTTCCTGACAGACAGGCTCTGTGGATGGGTTCCTGACATGCAGAGAAATGGATTCTTTCAGCTGGCCTTGCCCCAAATCTTTATGCCCCCTTCCTACACCAGTTGGCATCCTTCTAGACCCACCCTCCCCAATCCTGCTCCACAACACCTGTCCTTAATCTCTGCTAAGTCTCCCACAATCTTCTACCAAAAGATAGTCCCTGTGCTGCCTCGAACACAAGTATGCCAGCACTCACTCAATCTTCATGCCCACTGGTCCCTGCAAACCACTGCCCCATGGGCACCCCTCAGGTCTAGGACTGATGCCAGTGTGGGCTGTTAATTTAGCACTTGAGCCACTGAGGTTCTTGTCCCACAAAGCTGTAAAAAGGAATTCACAGACTTTTTAGATAAGTAAGCAGAGAGAAGCAAACTTTATTCAAGAAAGTAAGAAAAGGTTTATTTAGAGGAAAAAGAACAAAAGTAAAGACTCCAAGTCAGTGTTGCCAAGGAGGGGCAAAGACACAGTTATGGGCCTGTGTTTAGGGGATATTTAAACCCTTTTTTCCCTCTGCTCTAAAAAATCTCATCATCCTAATTTATGATTGGCTCTTTTTCCTAGCGGCTGTTCTCCTCCAGGCAGATGTGCCCATTTTCCCAGCTTTTATCTTAGAGTTTATCTTTTGACCTCCCCTGCCCAAGGTCTCCTACAATTTACTGTCCCAATTAGCCTCACAATTTAGCCTTAAAATGTACTGCCTTAAAATTTACTGCCCTCATTAGCCCTCCTGAATTTCTCTGCCATTATCTCAGAGGTCTCCCTTAGCTCTCGCGAAGTCCCTGCCTGCACTGTCCCTGAAGCTGCCTACTTAACCTCATTGCCTTGGGACTCAGGACCCGCACACCTGGAGAATGGATCTGGAGACAGAGCCCACGAAGTCCCTGGAAGCAGGCTTGTATGATTAGGGCTTGTATGATTTGGGACTAGAAGAGTTAGAACAGGATTAGTCCAATATTTGTAGTGGCCGAACAAAAGTTAGAATTCTAATTCTTAATTCCTGATCCAGGAACTTCATCTATTAAGTGGGAATAGCAATTCCCACTTTATGGGGCTGTTGTAAGGATCAAAGGAGACAGCATTTATAAAGGTTCTAATATGTTTGGAACAATCATTGTCTTTATTGTTTAAGGCCCAACACCAACTGCCTTGTCTCCTCATAGAGCCTCTCTCATTAGTCACATAAGATACATTCTTGATTTAACAGGCACACAATTTGTAACCATTAAGTGCAAACCCCTAGACCCCTGGGCCTGATAAACAAGCAGAGATGCTCAGATGACAAGCAGAGAAACAGGGTGGGGCACAGGGACAGGCATTGTTAAACAGTGAGGGTGGGGCGACTCCCATTGTGGTGAAAAGGTGACTGCCGGGAGTCAGGAATATGGGGTTAGTTACTGTAACTTCTGCCTGCAATAAACCTTAGGTGATTTTGCTGCATGGATTTAATTTCACTTACATTTTCTAGTTGCAAAAATAATAGACTCAGTATTAGAAAATTTGTCATAGACTAGTAGTAGAAAATGTGCACACAGAAAGCACAAAAGAAACATAAGTTTTACCTTATCACCCAGAGCTTTCTTTTGTTAACAGCGTCTGTCCTTCAAGCAGATGCTATTAATGCCAATCCAAATCCACCTACCTAGCACCTCCCCCCATAACCCAGCTGCAGCAATGTTGGCTATTGAGGCATGCCTGTGCCTTTCTCCTGAAGCTTCC